TAAATCAGAAAATCTTGATATACTTTCGGAAGATACAATTTACAAAGCAATAATGGATAATAACAAAGAGCTATTTATATCATACACAGAAAGAAAAGGATTTGATGAGAATCAACAACTGAGAAGCAGTTTATTCTCTAATATTAATGAAAATTATTCATTACTTAAATTATGTTGTTACTATGGGGCAGTTCATTGTTTCAAGTTCCTAAGAACGGAATTTCACTCAGAAATAACTCAAAGATGTCTAGAATTATCATTTTTAGGAGGAAATCAAGAGATCATGAATGAATGTTTGAAATATCACAAACCAAATTATGAATGCATGAGATTTGCAATTATTTCACACAACATTGATTTTGTTACATTCTTGATGAATGAATATAATATAGAGATCAATTTAGAATTTTGCACAAAGTATAAAAATCTTGAATCCTTTTTAGTTTGCTTAGATCAAGCAAGCAAAATTAACGAATGTTTTGTTTATTCAACATATTTTGAAATTCCATCCTTATGCGAAAATATCCTTTCAATTGGTGCAGATATTAATAGAAAAGTTTTTCCCGGAGAAACCGCTCTTCATATTGCAGCAAAAAATAATAGTAAAGAAATAGCCGAACTTCTTATTTCACACGGTGCAAATATCAATGAAAAAGATGTTTTTGGGCAAACCGCACTTTATAATGCCGCATGTTATAATAGCAAAGAAACTGCCGAACTTCTTATATCATATGGTGCAAATATCAATGAAAAAACTACTAATGGAAAAACCGCTCTTCATACTGCAGTATTTCATAATTGTAAAGAAATTGCCGAACTTCTTATTTCACATGGTGCAAATATCAATGAAAAAACTAATGCTGGAGAAACTACTCTTGATTATGCAGCATTATCTAATGGCAAAGAAACAGCCGAACTTCTTATTTCACATGGTGCAAATATCAATGAAAAAGATATGCACGGAAAAACTGCTCTTCATTATGCCGCAAAAAGTAATAACAAAGAAACAGCCAAACTTCTTCTAGCGCACGATGCAAATATCAATGAAAAAGATATTTTCGGGCAAACTGCACTTAATGATGCAGCAAGTTATAATAGGAAAGAAACAACCGAACTTCTAATTTCACTTGGTGCAAATATCAATGAAAAAAGTAAAAATGGAGAAACCGCTCTTCATTGTGCAGCAAAAAGTAATAGCAAAGAAACAGCTGAATTTCTTATTTCTCATGGTCTAACTATCAATGAAAAAGATAAAAAGGGAAAAACTGCTCTTCATATTGCAGCAAAAAAGAATTGTGAAGATTTTATTGAACTTCTTCTTTCACATGGTGCAAATATCAATGAAAAAGATAAAAATGGGAAAATAGCTCTTCATATTGTAGCAAAAAATTATAGTAAAGAAACAGCCGAACTTCTTATTTCACACGGTGCAAATATCAATGAAAAAGATAATGATGGACAAACCGCTCTTCATTATGCAGCATGCTACAGTGGTAAAGAAGCAGCCGAACTACTTATTTCACATGGTGCAAATATCAATGAAAAAGATATGCACGGAAAAACTGCTCTTCATTATGCCGCAAAAAGTAATAACAAAGAAACAGCCAAACTTCTTCTAGCGCACGATGCAAATATCAATGAAAAAGATATTTTCGGGCAAACTGCACTTAATGATGCAGCAAGTTATAATAGGAAAGAAACAACCGAACTTCTAATTTCACTTGGTGCAAATATCAATGAAAAAAGTAAAAATGGAGAAACCGCTCTTCATTGTGCAGCAAAAAGTAATAGCAAAGAAACAGCTGAATTTCTTATTTCTCATGGTCTAACTATCAATGAAAGATAAAAAGGGAAAAACTGCTCTTCATATTGCAGCAAAAAAGAATTGTGAAGATTTATTGAACTTCTTCTTTCACATGGTGCAAATATCAATGAAAAAGATAAAAATGGGAAAATAGCTCTTCATATTGTAGCAAAAAATTATAGTAAAGAAACAGCCGAACTTCTTATTTCACACGGTGCAAATATCAATGAAAAAGATAATGATGGACAAACCGCTCTTCATTATGCAGCATGCTACAGTGGTAAAGAAGCAGCCGAACTACTTATTTCACATGGTGCAAATATCAATGAAAAAGATAAACATGGAAAAACTGCTCTTCATTATGCAACATGTTATAATTGGAAAGAAACAGCCGAACTTCTTATTTCACATGGTGCAAATATCAATGAAAAAGATAAAAATGGGAAAACCGCTCTTTATTATGCAACATTTTATGGTTGGAAAGAAATAGCCGAACTTCTTATTTCACATTGTATAAATATCAATGATAAAGATAAAGATTAAGAAACTGCTCATCATATTGCAGTAAATTGATATAGGGTGTCCAAAGGTGCGTTTAGCACAGCGCTCTATATGAGACTATTAAAGGAGATATATGCTGATTATAAATATATAATAAAAAATATGAATATATGTATATGATGAGTATGTTGTATTTTGGCGCCATGCCGGGATATAAAATGAATTTTGAGACAAGAGGTGGTTTCGCGGGAAATTTTGGCGGGATTTTTTTCATTTTTTTAATGAATCATAAAGAAAACATCCTCGCTCTTGCAAAAAAATGCAAAGACTGTAAAAAATCTACGAGACATTGGTAAAATGCTTCGGTATGGATGCTCCTAGCTATTCCACTGTAACGTATCATGTTAGGATGTATCACTTCGTGAACAAAAAGACGCCCATCATAAAAATTGACAAAAAATCGCCGGATCAAAGAAAAATCAAAGCAATTCTTCAAGCGCTAGATGAAGACCCAAGAGCATCACTCAGAAGGATAGAGGAGATGACAAAGATACCACGTACAACAGTCAGTTATTATCTGCACAATTATTTGAACTACAAACTAGCGTATACACGTTGGGTTCCGCACAACCTTAATTCAGTTCAAAAAAATCTAGAGTCCAATCTTCGAAAGAGCTCCTCTCTATATTGGGTGCGTATCAATCCAAGAAGTTTCGCTTTTTAGTAACAGGGGACGAGTCTTGGTTTCAATATGCAACAGAAGCCAAATCATGTGGATCCCGAAGGATGAAAATCCGCAAACATTCCGAAGAAAAAAATTGACACACCAATGATGATGTTGTCGGTTTTTTGGGGCGTGAATGGCATCATCGCAATTGATATTCTTCAAAAACCTAATACGATGAATGCTCAGTATCTAATTGACAATGTTCTTACTAAAATTATCAATTCTGATGAGTTTGAGAAATCCAAACAACAAAACAAAAGTTTGCAATTCATTTTGATAATTCAAGAGTTCACAAAAGTCATAAGGTAATGAATTACTTGGTGGAAAACAATGTCAAAGTTGTTCCAAAACCAATTTATTCACCTGATATTGCACCCTCTGACTTTTATTTATTCGGCACGCTAAAAAAGAGAGCTGAAGGACGCGAATTCGCGAGTCCAGATGATCTTGAAAATTTTGTAAGAGAGCAATTTGAGCAATTTTCTCATGATGATTTAAAGCGTGTCTTTCAAGCCTGGATCGATCGCTGCGAACGCGTGATTGAATCCAATGGTGATTATATTTAAATAAACTTTATATATATGTAACTTGTTTATTTCTATTTGCAGTATTCAGGTTTGTGCTAAACACACCTTTGGACACCCTATATTATAAAAAAATAGTCAAAGATTTTCTTTCACATGGTATAAATATCAATGAAAAAGATAATTATGGAAAGTTGTAATAGGTTAAACCCTTCTTGATATGATATCTTCTTTTTTTCGATTTTTGCTAGGTTTTGAGAGCTAATAAACACAAAATCTCGTAATATTATAGTTTATTGAGAAAATACTTTCTTATACGATTTCATGCCAAATTTGACTGGTATTTTTGGAATCTATCCATATGTAAAACAGAAGAAGAGAGAAAGAATGAAGATGTGAAAGATGATGAAAAATTATAAATTTTAGAAATATAATATATGATGAAGATATTTGGGTGCCCTAAGAAATAAAAATGAATAACTTTAGTTATCATACATTCATCAAATTATGGTAAATCAGACTTAAAAAATCTTTGGTAAAAACAACACTCCGATAGCGTGACCAACCTTTCGATTATCTTGAGCTCACTCTATTTTTATTCATATCCAAGATTATTAAAGCAATCAATATGGCTAAACGTTATTACAACAATTTTTCGTTTGTCATTAAGTGTAATAAGGAGGCAATAATTCTTTGCGATTCTTTGAAGTCATTTTCAGTCTCTATATCGATCTTATAAGCGTCTTTTCCATTGAAAATTTTCATAACAAAAACATGTGAATCTTTTTTATACTTGGTTGTAAGGCGTGTTTTCTTTGGGTCGGTTTGGATCATTTCTTTGGCCTTTTCTTCAAAAACTTTGATATCTTTTATCAAAACCATTGCGATATGTCAAAAATCGTAAACTTCTCAAACAACCAGCTTGTTTTCAGATTTATATTTTAATTATTCTTATGAATCAGAAAATACAAACACAAAACGAATCTGTATTAAAATTAGCTCGACGGTTAAATTTTTTAAATTTGATCTAAAATAATACGGCATTTACCTATAACCTTTAAGAAGAGTATAATTCATTCATGAAGTCTTATAGTTATGACATTTATGATTTGAATAAAAACCTGAGAAATGGTATTTTCATCAAAAGATGCTTTGATTTGAATTCTTGAGAAGATTGAACTGGTAATCATTTTTAATTTTGTTGATATTAACGGACATCTTATTCAATAAGTGATGGGAATTACCTCTGATTCTTTCTTCTTTTCATTGATATTTTATGAAAAAGCTGTTGCTTCGAACCTTCCATTATCCCATCTATTAGCTTACCATCCCCTATCCATAGATGTATTAGATAACTTTATATGTTGAAATGTTTTTTTTTTACATGTCAAATGCATTTTGCATCAAATTTGAAAGGTTTACAAATTAATTTTTCGTTAATTAGATGCACAGTGGAAACGCATTAACAGAGCAAGCAGTTTTAGAAAAATCCAAAGCTTCTAGTCTTAGTGAGGTTAAGAGCATCACTTTTTGGGGCGCAGATATTCAAGATGTTAGTATCGTTTCTAAAATGCCCAACTTAGAATCCGTATCTTTATCAGCTAATAAAATTTCATCGTTACAGCCATTTGCTTCATGCCCAAATCTCAAAGAAATTTTTCTAAGGAGAAATCATGTTGCCAATTTATCAGAATTCGACTACTTGAAGGGATTATCTCAACTCAGAGTACTTTGGTTTTCAGATAATCCAGTTGCAAGCGTAGAAGGTTACCGCGATTATATCATCAGAACTTTACCTCAAGTTATCAAGCTTGATGAAGAAGATATTACACCAGAACAAAGACCTAAAGCTAAGGCCTCAGAACCAGTCAAAAAATCCAAGCCGAGATTATTAAATTTATCACCAGCTAATCACCAATCGAATGCCACAGTTCAAATAGCATTTTTGAATGCATCAGTTGAGCTTGTTCAATTACTTTCTACAAATCAATTAAACACTTTAGAATCTGAGATTGTCAAATTGCTCGACACCAAACAGTAGTATACAATTTGTGAATGGCATTCTGTTTAATGTAAACTTACATATAAAAATACAATTTTTTATGAATTAATTTTTTATAATTTTCTTAAATCTTCGTGAAATCAACAAATCTACTAAATGAGTTTCACATAGTCGAGTTGTTCATTCAAAATGCATTATTTAAATATCATAAAATCGAATTCTTTTTGTCAAATTATAATATCTTTTTGACTAATAAAGATCTAATACTTTTTATATGCTTGTACAAGTTTAGATGCTTCATGGATTCTTTTTGTCAAATTATAATATCTTTTTGACTAATAAAGGTGTATCTTGTAATTTCATGAAGCATCTAATTCTTATATTTATCACAAGTTCTATTAATATATATGGTGTCAGGAATCCATGAAGCATCTAATATAATGATTACGATTTCCATCACTTCAATAAATACGTCATGTGAATGAAAATATCTCAGTCTGGCTTTAACATTCTACAGGAGTATCATGACACATTATTTATGTTCAGGATCTACCAACACACATAGTGACTAATGGCTCAATGATATTTGAAAGAAGAAATGCTTTTATTCTCTCTCTCTCTCTATTTGTTGATTCACTCTCAAATATCTGGGATCTATATGTCATTGTTTCTTGCCGTCTGAGAAGCCTAATAAGAAGTTACACATTGCGATATGTAAATATACTGTTGATGAATTTATAAAAGGTAGTCTAATAATATACAATTCGCAAAATCTCGTGTTTTGTGGTAAATCTATAATCATACTCAAAATTTTTCTGAAGACTTGAACCCGAGATTTTGAAACACCTATAATATATCTCCAGAATATCCTTACTGTTTTCTTCAGCATATCGCCTATATATACATCAATCGTTTTGAATTTGTGGAACTATCTTTAATTAATGGTCACTTACCACTTTCTGACATTCTCTCCATTTTTTTAACACACAGGCTTTCTATAGGGTGTCCAAAGGTGTGTTTAGCACAAACCTGAATACTGCAAATAGAAATAAACAAGTTACATATATATAAAGTTTATTTAAATATAATCACCATTGGATTCAATCACGCGTTCGCAGCGATCGATCCAGGCTTGAAAGACACGCTTTAAATCATCATGAGAAAATTGCTCAAATTGCTCTCTTACAAAATTTTCAAGATCATCTGGACTCGCGAATTCGCGTCCTTCAGCTCTCTTTTTTAGCGTGCCGAATAAATAAAAGTCAGAGGGTGCAATATCAGGTGAATAAATTGGTTTTGGAACAACTTTGACATTGTTTTCCACAAGTAATTCATTACCTTATGACTTTTGTGAACTCTTGAATTATCAAAATGAATTGCAAACTTTTGTTTTTGTTGTTTGGATTTCTCAAACTCATCAGAATTGATAATTTTAGTAAGAACATTGTCAATTAGATACTGAGCATTCATCGTATTAGGTTTTTGAAGAATATCAATTGCGATGATGCCATTCACGCCCCAAAAAACCGACACATCATCATTGGTGTGTCAATTTTTTTCTTCGGGAATGTTTGCGGATTTTCATCCTTCGGGATCCACATGATTTTGGCTTCTGTTGCATATTGAAACAAGACTCGTCCCCTGTTACTAAAAAGCGAAACTTCTTGGATTGATACGCACCCAATATAGAGAGGAGCTCTTTCGAAGATTGGACTCTAGATTTTTTTGAACTGAATTAAGGTTGTGCGGAACCCAACGTGTATACGCTAGTTTGTAGTTCAAATAATTGTGCAGATAATAACTGACTGTTGTACGTGGTATCTTTGTCATCTCCTCTATCCTCTGAGTGATGCTCTTGGGTCTTCATCTAGCGCTTGAAGAATTGCTTTGATTTTTCTTTGATCCGGCGATTTTTTGTCAATTTTTATGATGGGCGTCTTTTTGTTCACGAAGTGATACATCCTAACATGATACGTTACAGTGGAATAGCTAGGAGCATCCATACCGAAGCATTTTACCAATGTTCTCGTAGATTTTTTTACAGTCTTTGCATTTTTTTTGCAAGAGCGAGGATGTTTTCTTTATGATTCATTAAAAAATGAAAAAAATCCGCCAAAATTTCCCGCGAAACACCTCTTGTCTCAAAATTCATTTTATATCCCGGCATGGCGCCAAAATACAACATACTCATCATATACATATATTCATATTTTTTATTATATATTTATAATCAGCATATATCTCCTTTAATAGTCTCATATAGAGCGCTGTGCTAAACGCACCTTTGGACACCCTATATCAAAATATTTCTGGCTAGGAGAAAGTAAATATAAATCACTATATCGTACCTAATATGGCTGCTATACTTATCTTCTATTAAAATAGAGATATATTGATTTTTCATAGCATGTCAGAAAGTGGTAAGTACACCCTTAACATTACACGAAATCATACAAAATTATCTGAGTAGAAAAAAAATTTAAATTTAAAAAAACAAAAAATTAAATTATAAGTTTATTTCTCTTCAGAAGAAGACTTTGACTTAATAACAAAAGCAGACGCAGCCTTCTCCAGAGACTTATTCCTTTCTTCCGCATTATTAATGAACTTATCAATGACTTCCTTTCCTGGTTTGTCGTATCTAATTGGTTTTCTCATGTTTGAGTGCTTTCCGTAGTTAGATACAATTGTGCGGAAGTCTTTGACAACTAAGCTGGAGAACTGAAGTGATTTAGTGTAGAATTTCTGTGCTCCTTCGCAGTCAACTGGTTTTGCAAGAATCGCGTCATCATTATCTTCTTTAAGATTCGGTTTTTGGTCGAATTTAGGCAATGTGTCCCTAAGATTCTGCGGAACTCTCAAGGATGACCTCAATGATGACTGTCTGATCAAATTTGGTCCGAGTAGTGTCGAAGATTGAGGTTTTTCGATAGATGCCTTGAGAGGAGTCAGTTTTATGGTATTTACCTTCTGTTTCGGAGGTTCTTTGGCTTTTTCAATGGCTTGGATAACCTCAATACTGAAATCGTCATCATCGTCCGATGTTTCGCTATCTGATGAATCGGAATCAATATTTAAGTTCTGTACTGATGGTGGAATGACTTCATCTGGGTTAAATTCTGGAGCTTTCGCTTGGACATTGGAATATAACCGAATATGTTGACTGAAAAGCCTCAATCTCTCCTTAAACGATGCTGGTTTTGCTTCTGTTCCACTTTCTTGGTCCTTTGTTTGCGTTGTTTGGGAAGAATTTTGAGATGAATCTCTTGGAATTGGCTTTGGCGGGGTAAATCGGGTTGGAGGTGGCGCTGGTTTGCTATTTAATGTCGCTTTTGTAGGTATTGGCCCGAAACAAGTGAATTGTTCTATAGCATTCTTCAATGCAGGCCTTGGAATGCTTGTTAAGCATTGCTCGACCAACCGACCACCTTCGTAAAGCATTGAAAATCTCCAAGCAACGAAAAATGCGGCTTGCAACACGTTAATCATGTAATCCGAGCAAATTGCAATAGAATAACTGGAATTTGATAGTGCGAGCTTTTGGAGGAGCTCAAATAATGGCCTTGCGATAGTAGTATTTGGTGTTTCGTTCGCTTTTAGCGAATCAAAACTTCCATTTTCGGGTCTGTAAAGAACTAACTGCATAGCGAGGGTTGCACAGGACAGAACAGTTGATATACGCTCACAATCGATTAATCCGGCGATTGTTTTTGCAATAAATGCTTCCAAGATTGAAGATTGCTTCAAATCGCTCAAAGCAGCGTAGACTCTGAACAAGTATTGGTTAGTATGATGCACAACAGTGTATACAACAAATGTAGAAACCAAAGTTGTGAAATCTTTGTCACTTTTAACGAAATTTTTAACGAAAGGTACCCAATTATAGTTATCAAAGAAATAAGTCAATTCATCTGATGCACTGTTATTGATTTCATTAAAGAATTTTTCGTATTTTGACTTATTTTTGATTTGAGAGAAAGCAGCCATGAAAAGAGCGAGCATATCAGCAGATTTGAGCTTTCTGTTCTCATCAAATATCTTTTCGTATATGAATTTTGTGTCATCTGATGAAACATTGTCAGATAAGTACATAGCACAGTTTTCCATGTAGGGTCTGACAGTAGGATTCATTGTACCATATCTGCTCATGATCGATAATAGTTCTATGCCTCTTTTTCGTTCAATAATATTACGATTATTTAATAACACGGCAAATGGCTCATGTCCCATTGCATTTAGTATCGCCAGAATGTTGGAATCGTTTTTATTGAGGGCGTTTAATAAAATATTGAAAGCCCATTTGCGAATATTTTCATTTTTCCTTGTAATGAAAACTAAAGCTACAGCAATGGTATCCTTGTTACTTAGTTCTATTTGGGCTACATAATTCCATTGGATTTCCCTGAATTTTTCGATTTTCGGATCCGGAATTTCCCAAATATAAGTAAGTAAGAACTCAATATCAATCGGATTAGCAGCAAAGTCGATTTTAGACAAAATGTTATCGAAATAACTCTTTCTCATTTTGTCATCCAATCTTTCTACGAAAATCATGTTCAAAAACACGTTTTCAAGCATATCTTTCCTGCATTTTTCATTGGGAAGGCCATTATATAAATCTACTAACAAAAGTAAATTTTCTAATGTAAGACATGACAAATTGACAGAAAGCAAAGCTCCGCCTAAAAGCTTGAAAATATGGCTTTTATGGATATGCTTTGCCTTGCGGAGTAAATACAGTGTTGAGATTACGAGCTTGAAGTACTCAATTGTTAAACTTGGGTTAGTTTTATCTTGATTCGAAAGAATTGAAAGCAATTTGATGAATTTCTTTACACCTTTTACCGAATTACTTACAGCAAAGATGTTCTCAGGGCTCTCTGTGTCTGCCATGGCATCTTCAAGAGTTGTTTTGAGCATTGAAACTAATTTGATGGAAGTATTGATTTCGGACGAATGTGACTTAACTGAGTGTACTAAGTTCTTCCATATATCAACGTGGAAGTAGTATCTGGCCACTGAAAAAAAGAATGATTTTGAGACATCGGCCAATTCCTCTTTATAATAGAATCTCTTGATAGCATCGTTAAGGAAACCTTTCTTGTAGAATATTTCTGCAAGGGATTTGCTTGATTCGCATAATTGTTTCGACCATAAGAAATATTCTTTTTCTAATTGAGTTCCTTTGAGCCAATCGTATAACATGAACAACAGTGTTGATGAAACAAGTTCCTTTTTCTCACCGATAATTGTTTCTTTCAACATTTCGAAAATATGAGGATCTGCAGGGAATTTTTTGAGAGAATCAGTTAATGATGTCAATGTTCTTGATACATCATTATTTATTTCATCTCTTGCAACTTGGTATCTCTCCATAAATAGCTGAATAACTCTAATACAAGTTGTTAAGATCTCTGTGTCCATTGTTAGGCCAGGAAGCATACACATATTTGCGAACAATGAGGAAACAATCTTCTGGGCTTGTTCCGGTGTGTAGGAGTCCACATTAAATGTCAATGAGTTCAAAAAAACGGCAATTACTCCATCATTTGTTTTTACAGATGTTCTTTTGGTCAAAATAAGTTGGATCGCGTTGATAATTAATGGGAAATTCGGCATTGTTGCTTCAGATAACCAAACCATGTCAATAAAGTCATTGTAGTTACCTGAAATTACGCAATCTATAATAAGCATGGCCATGGAACTGCTCAAACAAGTTGCGGCATCTTTTTCATAAAGATCTCTTATGAATACTCCCAAACCATCGATAGTTTGGCCATTTTTCAGCATCTGCCTTAAATGGTTGGGTACGGATGATATTAATATCATCTTCCAGCGCTGGGAATTCACTAATTCTCTGAGATATAACGAGTGACTTAGCAAATCCGGGCCAATTATTTGGAGAATCAGGTTACAATAGGGCTCACTGATCTTACTGATGTTGGAAAGAACAGTTTCACGTTGTATTTGGTAACAATCGTTTGAACATATCAAATTAATAAATTTTTCTGGGTTGTTATTGGTAAAAACGTTATCAATAATCATAGACATGGCTATAGTGAGACCAACCTTGTCCTTTGGAACTACATCCAAGAACGTAGGAAGGAAAGAAGGATGAATTGACATTCTTTCAGCGAAAAGTTTGCCTGCATTGACCGACATCGCGATTTCTGGGGGTACCTCTTCAATCATGAGGGCTTTGAATTGGTTAATCTTCTTGAAATCCAAAGTTTTCGGAATTTCAATTTTAAATTGTTCATCGTAGATGTTTGGATGAGCTTCTGCGAGATGATTGATCCAGGTACCGAAGCTCTTCGTTGATTCCGTCACTGGTTTCTCTTCTTTGGTCAGATTTGCGATGATTTGGAACGTATATAAATTAATTTCAAATTCATCAACGTATTTCTTGGAACAAACTGTTTGGCAGAGTAATGAGAATAATTCTTCATGGAATTTTTCTGGAATTAGGTCCCAATTGTGGACAGAAAGATTGGCAAAAGCATTTAATTCTTTTTTGAAGTCTAATGAAGTAGATGGACATAATATGTATGCACTAATAAGTTTTGTAGCGTAATCGAGTGTTAAATATTCTTTCCGTTCTAAAAATGACTTCATTGAATCGATGAAAATTTTTAATAATTCGCGAATGATTCCAGCAACAATACTATCATTTGGTACTGCCATGATTTTGTCAAAACATGTGAATAATTTGATATATCCTGGTAAAATTGCAACTAAATCATCAAAAACAACAGAATCCATGTTAATAAGTAAATATTTTAAGGGAGAGTGTAATATTGGAGCAACATCTTTTGATAATTTAACCGAACTCCCGTAGTCTGCAATAGTTTCGATTTGATTTTTAAGAGTAAGGTTGATTGTAATAATTGTTTTGAAAGCTATGTTCTCTACTTGGGCTGCGTTAACGAATTTGAAATCTTTTAAGCGTAGTTCATAAGCTGTTTGGCAAAATTCGCATAAATTCAGTAAATTATAATTTTCTATATCAAATAAAGTCGAAATTGCTGTTTCTATTTGCTGGGTATTGCTTACTTTTGAAATTTGATTCTTTTGCTCCTTTGCTGATGGAATTTTGGGTTTAAATTTTGATATAAAATCTTGTGTGGGATCCGCTTCTTTAATTTTCTGATTTTTGCCGACTGAAACTTGATTGAGATATCGGATGTATACAAGGTGGGTATTTTCGTCACCTGTTGCCCTTAAAGAATTCGATATCGATCTCATTTCTATCTTTCACTTTTCAAACAAAAAAAAATCTTTCAAAATTTTCAAATCAAATCTGAATAAGATTCATATCAGTGTGTTCTCATAAAGATTTTTGAGTCTTAGAAAATTGAGAGGGATTTTTATTTTTGAATTTTTTTTGGAAAGTTAAAATTGCGATTAAAAATCGATTTCCGGGAGAACTAAGCATCTCATCATATATTTAAATCGATAAAAATATTAAATAATAGTTGAATAGTATAATAACTTGAAATTATGGCTGAATCTACAGAAAAAATGAACATATTTGACATTTTTGAAAATTCATATGTTAGATGGTGACAAACTCATAAACTATACTTTAGCTAAGATTGATATATGGTTTCAACAACACATGGTTAAAATCGTAAAAATATTTTAGATTTCAAAAAGATATATATGGTAATATAATGGAACAGAGTCAACAAATAGCATGTAAAATATGTTATAATTAACTTTTTATTAGATCTAATAGTATATATCGAATGGTTTCCAGCTTTATGGTTAAATATTTTCTTTTCGAGCTTCTCTTTAACTGTTGTATTAAGGTTGTAAATTTTTGATGCTAGAAACTATGGAATCTTCTTTGCTGCTGCATTTTTCTTGAGAGTTCTTGCAATTTCGAATAGATCTGCGCATTGTATGAAATGGGGGCTTTAAAATATCTTGAATCATAATAGGACTGCTTTTCCAAAGGAATGCTTATTTGTAAATCAGAGAGTTTCAAAATTGAGTGCAAGATTATCATCATAACTTTTGATTTTGGTGCAAAAAAGGAAGACAAGCTATTAACAAATCATTTACTGTTGTTCATCAAAAGAAGAAAACTTTGATAACAACTAATGATGATAAAATCAAGCTATCTTTTAATATTTTAAATTGATAAGACATTCAAAATATTTGAATGGTTTAAAATATTTTCTTTTAATTTCTATAAGATATTATCATGATTATATAATAAAATTTAAATTTTTATTCAAAAAGGCAATATTTCAAACTTTTAATTTCAAAAATCTTAATTCTGCAATAAGTGTATTTAATTGTAGCAAATTTAATGATCCTTCGTCATGCTTAGCAATTTGGAACTCATAAATTAATGATTTCTTCAAGTAAAATTCTGCATTATTTCAAAAGTCAATAATTCTCGAGAAAGGGACAAACTATCCAGTGTCACTTTTCAAAGGAATAAAAAAAATAATAAAGATGGGGAACAGGACAAATTTGCCACACGGCACTTTTTTTTAAAAAATTTAATGGAGCGGAGCGATACTCTGCTGCAGGAGCCCCAAGGCTCCCAATCATTACGAAAGGGAGCCTCAGGGCTCCTGAGAATCCATCAGCAGAGGCCTTTTCATTTGGCCTCTGCTGATCAAAGATTCGGCGAAGCCATTCTTCGTCTCAGGAGCCCCAAGGCTCCCAATCATTACGAAAGGGAGCCTCAGGGCTCCTGAGAATCCATCAGCAGAGGCCTTTTCATTTGGCCTCTGCTGATCAAAGATTCGGCGAAGCCATTCTTCGTCTCAGGAGCCCCAAGGCTCCCAATCATTACGAAAGGGAGCCTCAGGGCTCCTGAGAAACCTCTTTGAGAAGGTTTTCTTAAAGAAAACCTTCTCAAAGATGATTGTCAGCATTCACTCAAAATCTACCAAGAGTTTCAAAGTTTCAAATCTATCTGAAATGAAGCTTTGAATCTCTTGTATATCTAATTGTAGAGGTACCTTTTCAAAATGTCTTCTATTGATTAAATTTAATCAGTAAAAGTCATTTTGAAAAGGTACATCTCTATAATTGCTATTGAGCATTCACTCTTGGAACCTTGGAGCTCTTGTGTAGTGCATGAAAACTCCAAGATTCTAGCATAAAACATATATCATAGACATAATTTCTTCAAATATAATTTAAGGTTATTTTTTAAAAAAATTAGAAAAGCGTAATTTAAGGTTATTGAAAAAGTGACACCTGGCAAATTTGTCCCGCACTCATAATTCTCTAGTAACTTTTCTTCAAACCCTAACCATTATATTATATTATAGGTATAATGGAGAATAATTGCAAAGAAAGATAGCCGAATTTACTGGGTAGTTCTTGTGATGCGAAATAATTGCAAATTAACACCTAGTTTTAACAGCATCAATCTCTTTTTGCTCTCATTTAAATGCATTCGCACACTTTAATTTTGAAATATAAGAGTTTTGGAAATTATCAAATTTATCTGCTCAAATACTATAGATCTTCATAAGTGTTAATAGAATCATTAGCCTTACATATAGTGTTTAATATAATGATGCACATTATACTGGGATTCATTCCTTATTCATCTAGTTATTATAAGATTTACAACCCCATGAAAATTTAAAATTTTGTCAAAAATAGTGAATGTACCTTTACCACAAATAAGTTCGAATAGTCTCTTGGATTTTTTTTATCTCAAAAACGAACATGTCTCGAGTTTCATAAATCAATTCGAATAAAAAAAAGGTCAAAACTCTCACCAACATATCTAAGCTAAACTTGCTACAATGATTAATGTTTATCCGTAGAGGACTTTAATAATGCAGTTGTACCTATATATTGCCTCATAATTTTGTGGATCATTAGATCAAATTTCCATTAATACTTCAATATCTACCTTTTTATATATTGAATAATGCATATAAATAGATAGAAAAAGATAAGTATTGACTATGATCATTAATAAAGGATAAGCATTGCTAATATCTTTGCAACAAGTTAAAAATACTATATTAGCAATATCGAGCATTGTTTTGTCAAAGATTTAATCAAATTGCCAAGATAATATACAATTTCATGCCTCAATTTGTACATTTTTTTCAATTATCAATTTGATAGATTAGTAAATGAATATGAGATGTATTGAATGTGTGATTCAGAAATAACCTCAAAAATAAGCAATTTACATGATTAAATATCTGAAATTTATCTTAACACATTGATTCAATTTTAGGATTTTTAATCATAATGATAAAACTGCATTTCGAAGAAAGAAATATTTTGCAATCATTCAATTTCATATGAATCTCAAATAATGATATAATTATTTGAAATTATTTATTTCTATCCTTATTATTTATCAAAAGATAAAGGGAAATGGTTGCCATACTTGATTGCATGTTAGATAAGAATTCTATATGTATTAGGAGAAGCAAAACAAAGGCTATTTTTTGTTGATTGTATCGCAATAGATTTCAAAAAAAAGATCGTTATTTTCGTAATATATACCAATAATGTAATATTTTAAATATACAAACGATAATATGACTTAGTCGCGCCTATACATCTGGGCATTGCGCTGTTCAAGAACATCTTTGACTGGAGCATTTCCGTCGTACCAAACCATCCAAATTCTGGTCTCAAAGAATTTGAACAAAGATCTGACAAGATTTCGGAAGTCAACGAATTGATCTGCACTGAAATATACTGTCAATTTCTTTCCATCAAATTGGAACTCTGTTGTGATGATTGTCATCTTGAGACCAAGCTCGTTTGCTTTTTGTTGACATATTTCCTTTGCCCTTCTTTCTTTATCAAGCTTCATTTGAACTTCTTGTATCTCTGATGGGGTAGCAATACGAAGTATTGCCTTAGCATTCTTCATATCTTTGGGTTTAGGTGAAGGAATAATTGATGCAATACTGCCGATATCTAAACCACGATCCGCTTCAGTGATGACGAAACATCCAGGTTTAACTTCGAGAGACGATTTGAACTTGAATATCTCATTGCGTAATGAGTTGAAAACTACCGAAGCATATAAAGTTTTCTCTTGATATGAATGTAGAGGTAGAGAACCGAAAGGCATATTAAATCTCCCAGACGGAGCAGATTCAGGCACAACAAATTCTTGGGGAGGTTTAAATTCGGGTGATTCCGGAATTAGTGGTTCGATATTTGCGAGGGGAGGAGAATTGTTGTCAGGATTTTCATAATAATTGCGGCTTGGTGTTTCATCGTCCCAAACGTCACGAGTGGCCGCTACTGGGGGACTAGATGTCTGTGCATGATCGTAATCGATATCTTCAGTAAACATTGCCCATGAATCTCCCATCTCACCAGATTTTGATTATTTTGACAACAAAAAGGCGGTTTTTCATAAAATAAATATTCTCAAATTTTGAAAACAGGTTTAAAATAAACGGATTCATATACATCATAAAAGCAATCTTTTTATGTAATTTGAAAATTGAATATTTATTTATCAGTTTGTTAGAAAAAAAATCATCTCAGAATTTGATTATAAATATATTTATAATTGCAATACTAGAAAAGACCTATCGTTTTAATCAATTTCTTCACAATTTATGATTTTAACTTAGAATTTTTGTGAAATTTCGGAATCATGACAAAATTTCCTGATAATTCGGCCTACAAACCCTTTGCATATTCCTAATATTGCAATTAAGGATGTCAATTCGGAAAATTGTTTTCATTTTAGGAGAATATAATTTTCGAGTGCGGGACAAATTTGTCAAGTGTCACTTTTTCAATAACCTTAAATTACGCTTTTCTAATTTTTTTAAAAAATAACCTTAAATTATATTTGAAGAAATTATGTCTATGATATATGTTTTATGCTAGAATCTTGGAGTTTTCATGCACTACACAAGAGCTCCAAGGTTCCAAGAGTGAATGCTCAATAGCAATTATAGAGATGTACCTTTTCAAAATGACTTTTACTGATTAAATTTAATCAATAGAAGACATTTTGAAAAGGTACCTCTACAATTAGATATACAAGAGATTCAAAGCTTCATTTCAGATAGATTTGAAACTTTGAAACTCTTGGTAGATTTTGAGTGAATGCTGACAATCATCTTTGAGAAGGTTTTCTTTAAGAAAACCTTCTCAAAGAGGTTTCTCAGGAGCCCTGAGGCTCCCTTTCGTAATGATTGGGAGCCTTGGGGCTCCTGAGACGAAGAATGGCTTCGCCGAATCTTTGATCAGCAGAGGCCAAATGAAAAGGCCTCTGCTGATGGATTCTCAGGAGCCCTGAGGCTCCCTTTCGTAATGATTGGGAGCCTTGGGGCTCCTGAGACGAAGAATGGCTTCGCCGAATCTTTGATCAGCAGAGGCCAAATGAAAAGGCCTCTGCTGATGGATTCTCAGGAGCCCTGAGGCTCCCTTTCGTAATGATTGGGAGCCTTGGGGCTCCTGCAGCAGAGTATCGCTCCGCTCCATTAATTTTTTTTTAAAAAAAGTGCCGTGTGGCAAATTTGTCCTGTTCCCATAATTTTCCTTTTGAAAAATTTAAAAAGTGAGACGCGCAGGATTCGAACTTTTTTAAAAGTTGATTTAAATATATTCTAGTGTGATTTCTAAGGATAATATCATATTTAAAATAAGAATATACTAGTTTGGGTGGTATAATTTTTTCGATAAATTTGAGAATATGTACGTTTAGGGCATCAAAAGTGTCAATTCGCTCAGCGAAAGCTGAGCTAGCTTCGTTCTCGAAAGAATAGGGAAGGAGTGAAAGAGAGTGATACAGATGTTGACACATTCATATCATTTCAACAAATTTTGATCAAATTGAAATGCAATGAAATTCAATTCACTTCATATCCTTCAGTCAGTACATTGACATCCTTCTACATCACAATGATAACTCGTGCATCAATAGTTCTACAACTAACTCAGAAAAAACAAGATTTTTACTTCCAGCTTACAGCTTTTAAAAAAGTTTCGATGATAAAAATCACTCTACTCTTGTTTATCGATATGTTGTGATAGTAGGTAAACGTATTCTTATCGATATTAATAAAAATATTTTTACGAAAATCTGAACCAATTACAGAGTTATTCATAAAGTTTATGATAACTGTAATTACTTTATCTTTGTTTTATATTTGAATAAACAATTTAATTTAATTTGCATAATTTTTTTTGTTTGAAAGACAGGAAACTTATTTGAGTTTGTATTATTTTTATCGTTCAATTCATTGTATATGTGAGTGATCCAGATATTTAAGATATTTAGAAAAAATTTATTAATTTGATTAACAAATTTTAATCAAAATAGCAAAAATCTATTTTATAGCTGTAAGCAAACAATAACTTTTATTTCAAGCAAAATCACTTATTTTCATCTAAACGTATAAAATTGTCAATTTTATGAGAATAAATTTAAAATCTCATGAAATATAAAGAAGAGTAATATTTTTCAATTTTCTTTTTTTCTTTGTCTCAAATATTTTCTGGAGTAGGGGTAATTTTAGCTAAAAGTGACACACCCGTGAAGGGTGTGATTACCGATCGGTAATTTCGACAGTTTAGAATTTAAAATTTTTTATAGAACTGTTGCGAGTTTCATAAAGAATTTAAGGAATATAAGCAAAGATTTGAATCAAAATCTTAGACCTAAGCCGCTCGATTCGCTCGCGGCTTCCGCGAATTACAGATCAGCAAAGATTTGAATCAAAATCTTCGAACTAAGCCGATCGCTTCGCTCGCGGCTTTCTTTATTATTTTAAATTTGCATATTTCCATCAAAAGTTCATAAGGTAAAAAATTTCGTTTATTTTTACTTAGAAAAAAAAGGTTTTTGATAATAAATTTATTTTATTTCGAAAAAGTAGCAATAATCGTAAAAGGGTATTGATAGGCTTGCTAAAGTTGTTGTAAACAGAAATTCATCAAAAGTGACACATCAGAAAAGCTAAAATATTGAATTTTTGGAACTTTTGATAGAGCACGTTTTTAAATATTAATTAAAGTAAATGTATATTTTGTAAAGATTCTTTTTAATAAAAAAAATAAAATTTTGAAGAAGAACACAAAATCTTCTGAAAAATAATATCACATAAACTCATATTATTTTCTAATATATAACTATTTTATATAAAAATCAAATTCAATGATCTTAAAAGCGAAGGATAAACCTCAAAATTTACGAATATAATGAGTGGGAATATAATGCTTATCTATCATAAAACCATATGAAATATCAATTTTTGCTTTACGCCTAATTTTTGACGACAATTAGCAAAAAATGTTAAATGTTAACACTCAGTCCATTTGAATATGAAAAATAAAATTGACTTTGATTAAATGTTTTTATTTATCATGCAATTCTTCTTGCGACCAAAGATTTGAATAAAAGTTCAAAAAATAAGATAGCTTAAAAAATAATATACGGTAGTGTTTACTAATAGATGAATAGTATATAAATTCTATTAAAATGGATTTGATCCAAAAAAATATAAAACCAAAAATAATTGTTATAATTTAAATGAAGAAGTAATTTAAAACGATTTTATTTGAGTAGGTGACAAAAGTGCATACTCTTAAATTAACCTTAAATGTTGGTTTTTCGATATTTTCGGTATTAACCTTATTGTAAATTTTTCCGGTGATAAATTTATCACACTGAGGTTATTTTTCCAGTGAGATTTTTAACCTTGATTTAATGAAATTAATATATATAAATTTTATTATTTTTAATTTCGAATGAGTATAATAAAATATTTTTTATGTGTTTTTGTTTTTGATGTGATTTGAATTTTGTTAACTCTTTTCAAAATCACTTCATTTTTCTGATTTCGGTGGACTTAGAGGAGCTTATTGCTTTTGGTATTAAACAGGAAGTCAAGGGCGGTGTCCCATACAGAAGAAGAACGGGATCTCCAAAGCAATATGTCACTTATTCATGTTCGTATCCCCTATGCAAGGCAAAATTTAGGGTTGAAGAACAAAATGGAGTGTTTACTATAAGCAAAGTTAATGAAGAACATTGCCATCATATAGGAGTTGAAATGGGTTCACATTACGCGAGTAAATTTTATCAAAAATGGATCGAACTTTATATTAAAAACGGTGGAAAGCAATTTCTTGCTCAAAAAGCATTTTTTGATAAGTTCGGAATTGATACGAATAACAAAGAAACGATGAAACTTTTCGCGCAGTCTACTGATGCTTTAAAGCACAAATTTTATCGCCTTGATGAGATTATTGCACAAAGATTATCAAACGATCCTTACACTTCTTTGAAGCATTTTTGAATAATTTACAGGAAGAGTGCCAGATGATCTCGTTCAATTTGATTACAATGGAGATTTTTCCGAGTTTACAATCATATATGCACCTTTTGCTGCAAAAGAATTGGTGCATAGCATTGATAACCCTCTCCAGCGTCGATTCCACTCATTCTTTAATTAAAGGAAAGATCCAATTGTTTGCAGTAACAATGAAAACAAGTCAAAACACAATTTTCCCCTTTTGCTATTTTTTAGTGAACCCTCAGACATCTGAAAAAATTCAAGAATGTTTGGTGAAATTCTGTGAGTTTGCGCACCTGGATCCACAGCATTGGAGCGCTGACTGTGCGCTAAACATTGCTCGCGCAATTGAGGACGGATTTCCTCTTGCGCAGCTCAGTTGGTGCGCTGTGCATGTTTTACGCGCATGTGCAAAAGTTGGAAGCTATTTTGACAATCCACAGAATTTTGAGAACTTCTATTTAGCAATGGACTTTTTGACATTACGTGCAGATGCAACGAATGCAGAAAAGCTGGCTGAAGAGTCTGATGAAACATATGAGTTCTTGACAACAATGTTAGAAGAAGAAGAACCGCGCGCTTTGAAGTATTTCGATAAACAATGGAGAAGAACCAAAGAACATTGGATGATGTTATATCGTGGAGAAGGTGATTCCACGAATAACATTGCGGAATCACACTTTCATCAATTAAAGCAAACATTTTTCTTGGGTAAGAAAAATGAGCGCATTGATGACATCGTCATAACTCTCATCACTGTTGTGATTCCAAATGCGATTATTAAGGTTCAAGTCGCTAATGTTTTGAATGAAGAAAGAGCAGTAAGAATTCTTACAAGGGCAGGTAATCAGATTGTTGAGCAAAGAGCTTCAAAACACGATGAATGTTTGAAATTAATTCAACACATTTTGGAAATTGTCGAAAGCCGAAGGATTGAACCTAATGTCCTTATTCCATCTTTGAAGGCAATATTAAATTTGGCACAAAGAAGTTTAAAGGAAGAGTAAGCAAGATTAGATAATTTGGACTTTTTTTAAAATTAATGAATAAACAGTATATTTTTGAAGTGTAAGCTTATTTACCTGAAGCTATATTACTTAATATAACATTCAAAGTATTATTGCTATTTATTGGAGAACAAATTTATGTAATTTTCACATGAAAATTGATAAATTTGTATTTCCTTATGATAATCAATTTTTGTATTTGTAGAGAGTCTCCCTGCATGATATCAAGACTTGGCTATAAGTCTTTATCCATTTTTGAAAATTGTATTGTAAATTGTAAGAATTTCTGAATACTACTACTATAAAATATAATTGCTTATCTATGTATATTCTCCCTGCATGATATCAAGACTTGGCTATTAGTCTTTATCCATTTTTGAAAATTGTATTGTAAATTGTAAGAATTTCTGAATACTACTACTATAAAATATAATTGCTTATCTATGTATATTCTCCCTGCATGATATCAAGACTTGGCTATTGTCTTTATCCATTTTTGAAAATTGTATTGTAAATTGTAAGAATTTCTGAATACTACTACTATAAAATATAATTGCTTATCTATGTATATTCTCCCTGCATGATATCAAGACTTGGCTATAAGTCTCTATTCATTATGAGTATGACCCCATTTTTTTTACAAAAAGTGCCGAATTGCAACTTTGTCCCAATCTCGATTTTATTTATGATCAAATTTTATATATTTTTTTGGATCAAATCCATTTTAATAGAATTTATATACTATTCATCTATTAGTAAACACTACCGTATATTATTTTTTAAGCTATCTTATTTTTTGAACTTTTATTCAAATCTTTGGTCGCAAGAAGAATTGCATGATAAATAAAAACATTTAATCAAAGTCAATTTTATTTTTCATATTCAAATGGACTGAGTGTTAACATTTAACATTTTTTGCTAATTGTCGTCAAAAATTAGGCGTAAAGCAAAAATTGATATTTCATATGGTTTTATGATAGATAAGCATTATATTCCCACTCATTATATTCGTAAATTTTGAGGTTTATCCTTCGCTTTTAAGATCTTTGAATTTGATTTTTATATAAAATAGTTATATATTAGAAAATAATATGAGTTTATGTGATATTATTTTTCAGAAGATTTCATTCTATATGCCTATGAAAAGTACTCTCAAAACTAACTTTTTCCTAATTATAATTAAATCTAGAATATTGTATTATGCTTAGTATTATTTCATTTTTCTCATTCAATTTAGAATTTACAAATGTCAAAAAATTGAGAGCTGTCACTTTTGATGAATTTCTGTTTATTACAAGTAGCAATAATCGTAAAAGGGTATTGATAGGCTTGCTAAAGTAACTAATTTTAGCTGTCAAATACTTTTGTATTTTGAAGTAAATTAGTATAAATTTGTTTTTACTTTTATTTCGAAAAAGTAGCAATAATCGTAAAAGGGTATTGATAGGCTTGCTAAAGTAACTAATTTTAGCTGTCAAATACTTTTGTATTTTGAAGTAAATTAGTATAAATTTGATATTATTTTAACTCCCTTTGAAAACCTCAATTTTCCATACAGAGGGAACGGGAATAGCATCCAATATTCCCTGAGAATGGTTGCGCATTCTCAGTTCCCTCTATATTTCGAACGAAGCTCTCATCGGTCTTTTTTTTTAATACTAAACGTTTTTTTTCCTGTCACTTTTAGCTAAAATTTGGGTTTGCCATATTTTCTGTTGGGAATTTTCTTGTTATCAAAAAATAATTTTAATATTTGTTTATTTCATTACATACAATAAAATTTTAAAAACTCTATTTCTTCACAAGAAAATTTTTTTCCTTCATATGAAGAAACATTTTGTTCTCCATTTGATGCTGCGTCTAAATCTCGATTTTTGAATTTTCTTCTTTCCAAATTTCTTTTTTCCAAATTAGAAGTTTAATTCAAATTTTCAATAGTTTATATATTTTCTCAAACCGTCTTAGATTTTCTTACTTTTTGGGGATTTTCTCTCAAAATATACAAAAATAGTAATATCAATACATGTGTCTAATATACTTTAAAACCATCGTGATAAAATTCAAAAACGAAGAGTTCTTCTCTCCAAATTTTTTTCAAAATCAAAAAAATGAGATAAAAAAGTACGTTTGGAAAATTCATTTTTAGCATTTTAGGAATTTTCTCACTTTTCTTCCAAATTGACATCCTTAACTAGGGTTGTTTTGTTGACTTTTCACATCATTTTACAATTTTGAATGAAAAATTGGATAATTAAAATTTTAGCTCATCACATTAAATGTAATCAATTTAATAAAATTCGTCGTTTTCAATGCAATTCAATTCCGAATTTATTCAGCGGATTTATTCAATTTTTTTTATATCCGCTAAAATCGGAATTGCATTCGTCTTTCCAAAATTCTCAATTGTTCTAAACTTATTTTCTTGGATTTGCTTTTTCTTATCTAACATCAACCCCTAGACCTTATTTATGTCGCAAAATTCTTCAAGCGAATTGATAAGAGATAATAAAGTTCTTTTTTGAAGGTATAATAAAATGTATCTCGTACCTAGAGATCAATAAAGGTATCTTTTTATTAAAATCATATGATATTAGATAATTGTAAATTTTTTGAATAAAATTTATCCAGGATAGAATTGGTAATTCATGAGTTTACGAAACTTAGTATCTATGGATTCGATTTACTGATTTCAACAGGAAACCAATATCACAAATAATAAAAAAAATTCTATTCAAGATGACACATCATATTAAATTCTATCAAATGATCCACAAAGAAGCATATCTAAGGATATAGCATATTATACATGAGGAATAATATAAATTTATTGAAATATCAATAAAGAGATCAAACATAACATTATATTTCATTATAATTTTCAAGAAATTTTCTAGTTTTGTTAACAATACAAAGAAGTTGTAATCAAAAAGTTCAAAAAAAAAATTAATAATTTTTCGAAAATAATATTTTTTATATCACTGTGCTTCGGCCTCACTTTCTTTAAGTAGAGTATCCTTAAGATTAACAACAATAACTGATATATTATCTTGTGAGTCTTTGTCATATGCTGCATCTCTTAATTTCATTGCAGCAGTTAACTGATCAACTTCTGGCATAATTAAATCGCATGCTTCTTGGTCCATGATAACATCCCACACACCATCGCAAGCTATGATGAGGAACAAGTCTTCATTTGTCAATTCAATGTGAGAAATGTAAGGAGTTGGATTTACAGCATCGCCGAGGAAACCATCACCGAAAGCTCTTGATACAGCGAGCATTCCTCCAACTCTTCCATCTCTTACGAATGATCCCTTGGACTGTATATAAGCGGTTTCTTCTGGTAAACCTGGTTTGTGGTCGAACGATAATCTGATGGCTTTTCCTCCGCGGCATAAAACGGCGCGTGTATCTCCGATGTTTGCAACTGTGAGGTTTCTGCCTTCTATCATGGCTAAGCATGCTGTGCAACCGACATAAACGCACCAGTTCTTCATATCGATCTGGAGGAATTTGAATGAGTTAATTAAAGCTTCATCAAGGGGTTGTCTGCTATAGCGATCGGCAATGTTCTTAGGAAGATGTTCGCCTGCAAATTCTGCAGCTTCTCTGCCACCATGGCCATCGAAGATTCCGTACATAATTCCTTTTTCGCTTGGGCACTTATCGACGATGATTGAGACATCTTCCATGTTTGGACGACGTCCGATCATTTCTGCCTTACCAGATCTGAAGCGCTGTAATGATGCGGCGGTTTCAATTGTATCGATTTGACGAGCTCTTTCATCTGTTGTTTCTAACTTCTGGAACATATCTGGATTAGCCTTACGAGATTCTTCTTTCTGTCTTGCACGGCCTGCAAGCATTTCACGGCCTTTAATTGATTTGTATGCGTTCATTTTGTTGGCAAAGTTGCGTTTGAAAGGAGACATGCAAATCTGATCTGTAAGAGTCTTCGCGTATTTGTTGCGTTCTGTTACTTCGTTGACTTCTACAAGTAAGGAATCGCCAAGAGTTGCAACTGTGATAGACTTGTTGTTTTTGAGGGCTTTGAAGACTTCATTGATACTCTCCTTGCAAAGATTGGTTGATTCTAAACGGAATGTTTGCAATATAGTGTTATTTGAAAGCAAATTAATAATCGCCTTTGTTGCTGTATCATCTATATGGCATTCTTCCATAATAAGTGATGTAAGATGCTCGTGGGCTGTTATGATTTCAAAAACAGTCTTTGATTGATGTCCGAGGTTATTTTCTGAAAGATCAAGCTGTTCTAAGTGTGGAGTGTTTAATATGAAGTGAATTAAATAGGGGATGGATTCTTCAGAGAGGTCACTTCCTCTAAATGATACTTTAGTGAGATTATCTGGCAAAGTATGTAATAATGGCATTAAACGTTTTAAGAATAAATTGCCTGCATTACGTCCTGTAATTGTTATACCAAATGATGTGTCTGTATCTGGGAGTATTTTCATTGACTCGTAAATAGAAACAACAAGACGAACTAAATTTTTATCTTTTTGGTATTGGTCTGGGAGATTGGAATATACGGCGACAATCTTGTCAAAGAAGACGCGGGCTTCGGTGTTTGCGAGTTTGGAGGAATCGCAAGCAGAAACACCGTTTCCCATTCTTTGATAAAATTTATTTGGAACGATTAAATTCAATTCAAAAAAATTAATTCAATTTCTGTTCTTCTGCACATTTGTATTTGAAGTGACTACATGAGGTCTTAAAACATGAATTTATTTTTCTTTTATATCGTGTGATTTGGTGATGCGCTTAAAATCAAATTCTGCAAATATAACGAAATATTTCAATATCAATTTCATGCGTGAAGCATCTATTGTCTCCCATCATGTTTTTTCTTGAACACATGCTAACAGCAATCTTTGAGTATAAAGGTCTAATATGAATCAAGATGTAAGAAATTTGCTCTATTGTCTTGGAGTTACCAGCCAAATATATTCAAGAAGGTTATTGATCAAATATATTAAACATGAGATATAATTATTATATAGGAAATATTATTGAAATCACAATATTCAAAAATAAGAATTGTAATGACATCGTATTTAAATTTCTCATTTCAACATGTTGTTTTTTATGCTAATGTTGACTGATTAAACTTGATCTGGCATATGAATTAGCACTCTTACTAAATAAATATATTGACAAGTATGATTTAAAGCAGAATTACATAATTAATGTTGTCCTTTATACGGAGCATATAGTTTGAGTTTAATAAACAAACAAATATTTAGATTTTTTTGTCGAATTTGTTGAAAAAATTGTCAATTTATATAATATAAAAACTTTATTTAGAGTCGCATTAATCAATATAATATATATCTTTAGACTTTAGCGTTTTTGGCGAGCTGGAGCGCAAGTAATGATTTCATCGACGCGAAGGATCTGCTCAGCAGCTTCAGAAGCAGAGATAAGTACCTGGCGCTTTACGCGGAAGCTCTCAGTGATACCGAGTTCAGCGATGTCAGCAACTCCTCCTTTCTTGATGTCGAGGCCGTATGTGTGCTTTCCTTCGGCGTGGGCAGCGCGGATTGAAGCGACGATTTCTGGAGCATCGAGGCCAGCGTTTCCAGCGATGATTGTTGGGATCTGGCGGAGAGCCCGAGCGAATCCTTCCATGGCAAGGGAGACTTTGCCTGGTGTATGGCGGGCGGCGTTATCAACAGCCTCAGCCATGAGGATTTCGGAGCATCCTGCACCGTAAACTGTGCGCTTCTCTGTCATCATTGATGCGATGACGCAAAGAGCATCGTGGAGAGCACGCTCTGCTTCATCGAGCATCTGTTGTGTAGCACCACGAAGAACAACTGTAGATGTGGCTGGTTCGTGGCATCCTGTGAAGCGGATTAACTTATCTTCACCGATCATGATGGATTCAACGGTCTTTGCGTAGCCGAGCTTGACCTTGTCTGGTGTATCGAATGTAGAAACGATGTCACCGCCTGTAACAAGTGCAAGGCGTTCGACACCGGCGAAATCTGCCTGTTCGATAGAGTTGATATGGTGTTCTGTGAAGTATTGTTCTGGAAGGTTGTAGATGAGCTGGCGGTTAACGAAAAGTGTTGGCTTGTGAGCGGCAATCTTGTCGCACTTTGTAAGCATCTTCTGGCGCTCTGCCTGCTCGATCTTGGCGAGCTGTTCTGGGGAATCTGTCTCAATCTTGGCACCGTTGATCTTGATCTTATCGGCATCCATGGATGTGTTTGCGATAAGGATCTTGGCGTCTTCGATCTTCTGTGGCTGGCCAATACCGAAGTGGCACTTGAGGATGAGGCCATCGACAAGCTCGGATTCGCGAAGGGCTCCACCTGTAACTTTAACAATGGAAATTGCATCGAGACGAGATGGATCGCGAAGGCGCTCAACAGCGGAAACGGCGATCTCAGCAAAGTGGTCGCGTTCCATAGCAAGGACTTTACTGTTGAGTGTTGTACGAGCGACGTTAAGAAGATCTTCACGGAACTTAGCGTTGTCGACGGAGTTATCCTTAGCAGAGCCTTCAAGAGCCTTTAAAGCAACTTGAACGGCCTCGTGCCATCCCTTGACAATGGTCTGTGGATGGATGCCTTGGCCAACAAGATTCTCTGCTTCGTGAAGTAACTGTCCGCAAAGAACGGCAACGGATGTTGTGCCATCACCAACTTCAGCATCCTGAGCTTGTGAAAGATCAACAATGATACGAGCTGCTGGGTTATCAATAACGATTGACTTAAGGATTGTAGCACCATCATTTGTTACATTAATTGTATCGAGGTTTGAGAGTGATTGAAGAATCTTGTCCATACCTTTTGGACCTAATGTTGTCTTAACAAGGTCGCAGATAGCCATAGCACCTGTGAATGCGGACATACGAGCCATTTCACCACGCTCTTCATTGGCACTTGTGTCTAAAAGTTGAACGCCTGCTGTTTTCATTTATGTGGTCACGACACGTTTATTAATTTTAAATTCACTTTTTTGTCCGTGCTATGTGGTCGAGTGGATTTAAGCTTCACTGGACAATTATTTGAACTTTGTAGTACTGCAAATGGATACTCTTCGCGTTATTTTGGAAATTTATCCACTCATTTCTCATTTTCGAGCACTTTTAAGAATATTAAAAAGTTTATTTTGCATTTAAGCATATGATACGATCTGATAAAGAGTTGCATTTAAGATTTTTCTCTAATTTTCTTCTACTTGGAGATTTTGAGCACTTATTCTTTATTCAATTTATTTTGTTAACGTTGTAGTATTTAACAATGCTGTTTTTCTGTATTGATAGATGTTTCCTTCACAAATATCTATTACGAATGAAAAATTTTTCTATAAAATTTTTCATAAAAATAATAGTTCATTTAAGACATATGAGTGTGAAATTAGTTAATATGACTCGATGTTGTAATATAAGCAGTGTTGAAAGTATCCTTTTCAAAAAAAATTAAAAATTATCGTTGATAAAATATAAATGAGATAATGGAAGATTGTACAACGGTTGTAAACAGAAATTCATCAAAAGTGACACATCAGAAAAGCTAAAATATTGAATTTTTGGAACTTTTGATAGAGCACGTTTTTAAATATTAATTAAAGTAAATGTATATTTTGTAAAGATTCTTTTTAATAAAAAAAATAAAATTTTGAAGAAGAACACAAAATCTTCTGAAAAATAATATCACATAAACTCATATTATTTTCTAATATATAACTATTTTATATAAAAATCAAATTCAATGATCTTAAAAGCGAAGGATAAACCTCAAAATTTACGAATATAATGAGTGGGAATATAATGCTTATCTATCATAAAACCATATGAAATATCAATTTTTGCTTTACGCCTAATTTTTGACGACAATTAGCAAAAAATGTTAAATGTTAACACTCAGTCCATTTGAATATGAAAAATAAAATTGACTTTGATTAAATGTTTTTATTTATCATGCAATTCTTCTTGCGACCAAAGATTTGAATAAAAGTTCAAAAAATAAGATAGCTTAAAAAATAATATACGGTAGTGTTTACTAATAGATGAATAGTATATAAATTCTATTAAAATGGATTTGATCCAAAAAAATATAAAACCAAAAATAATTGTTATAATTTAAATGAAGAAGTAATTTAAAACGATTTTATTTATGATCAAATTTTATATATTTTTTTGGATCAAATCCATTTTAATAGAATTTATATACTATTCATCTATTAGTAAACACTACCGTATATTATTTTTTAAGCTATCTTATTTTTTGAACTTTTATTCAAATCTTTGGTCGCAAGAAGAATTGCATGATAAATAAAAACATTTAATCAAAGTCAATTTTATTTTTCATATTCAAATGGACTGAGTGTTAACATTTAACATTTTTTGCTAATTGTCGTCAAAAATTAGGCGTAAAGCAAAAATTGATATTTCATATGGTTTTATGATAGATAAGCATTATATTCCCACTCATTATATTCGTAAATTTTGAGGTTTATCCTTCGCTTTTAAGATCTTTGAATTTGATTTTTATATAAAATAGTTATATATTAGAAAATAATATGAGTTTATGTGATATTATTTTTCAGAAGATTTCATTCTATATGCCTATGAAAAGTACTCTCAAAACTAACTTTTTCCTAATTATAATTAAATCTAGAATATTGTATTATGCTTAGTATTATTTCATTTTTCTCATTCAATTTAGAATTTACAAATGTCAAAAAATTGAGAGCTGTCACTTTTGATGAATTTCTGTTTATTACACAACAATCGAGAAATTAAATAACAATATGATTATTTTAAGATTTGATGGATTGGAATCAAATGATAAGATTATATTTTTCATATAATTTTGTTTATCGAATGTATATAATATTTTAGTACTACAATAATTTTAACGGTATGACATCTGTCTGCGGACACGGGCACTCTGACCACCGAACTTCTTTGGTTCCATACGACGTGGATCGGCGACAAGGAGTGTACGATCGTAGCCGAGAAGTGTATTCTTGATTTCTGTCTTTGTAGCCTCGTCTACATACTTCTGATAGTATGCAACGATTGCCTTAGCGACGGCCTGGCGGATAGCGTAAACTTGAGCAACATGGCCACCACCATGGACACGAACACGAATGTCGAGATTGCCCCAAGACTCTTCACCGATGAGTTGGAGTGGTTCGAGGATCTTGGCACGGAGAGTTTCAGAAGAAACCATATTGATTGGGGTACCGTTGAGTTTGATAAGACCAGATCCTTCGCAGCAGTAGGCGACAGCAGTAGCGGTCTTCTTACGACCGAAAACTTGGACGCTCTTCATTGAAAAAGGCTAATTAAAAATTCAATTTTTAAATTTTATATGAAATATATGTTACATATCAATAGATAGATATAATTGAATAAATATGTTCTTCAAAAAAAATTTGAAAAACTAAAAAATAAAGAGAAATTCTAGAAGTTTTATGTGAAAATGATGAAATTCAAATTTTTTGGAAAAATTTATCTATAAATCAAGTATTATTTTGATAATACTTAAAAGTGTTAATTCAAAATTAGTCATAAATTCTGAAATTCGTAAGATGTTTTTATATCCTCTCAGAAAATGCATGCATATCTAATAATGAACCTCTAGTCAGTCTAATTTTCCTTCATTCTATAATTTTAGGATATAAAACTACTCATAATTTCATCCTTTCGGCATAATTCTAATAATTATTGATCAGAATCCGAGTCTAACAATAATTCCAACTATTTATGTTTAATAATTGCGATTGTGAGGGCTGTTACATAAAAATGGCCCACTTTTGGAAATTTCAAATGTGAAATGTAATTATTTCGAAAATATTTTCCAAAAATGTTCTTTGATTTAAGTAGTTGAATCAAATAAATGTAGTATTTTTTAAATTTAAAAGAGGCAAAATTAATTGCGACCAATTTCTTTTTCTTCCAAACCATTTCTTCTTCATCTTTCTAGAATTATTAATAAAACATTGATTTGACACAAAATCAATAAACCGTATCCAAAAGTAACACCTAGTTTCGTACGATAAATTGTATGGCCAGTTCGGTTTACTTGGCAGCTTGACACTTCAACTATTCATGTTCTTTGCATTATCCTTACTTGCTAAGTGTGAAGAGGATGTTCTTGGAACTTATGATCCATACACCCACGCACACCTTCCACCAATTTCTAACGACGTTATTGACGCCCGTGCCCAATTCATTGATTTTCCAGACAACAAAATCCCAACAAATGGTCAGACCTATGTTCGCCTTGTAGGCACATACAAGGCCATCGGAAACAATGAACTTCAAGTTCAAGCAGTCTTTGGCCATCTCTACACACTTGAAGGTGAATGGGTTACCAACTACACAACATTTGCTTACCCATGCCGTGCCAATTCTGAAGAGTCCATCACATCCAGCCACTACTTCGAATGGCATAGTGAAATCGATCCAGCTCAATACATCATTGATGCTTATGCCATCGTCACAAACACAGACGGCAAGAACTATTCTGCACTCGTCCTTAACCAGACCGTTGAATTCGTTGAAATCACCAACTACAAGGAGACAATTGGCTCTGCTTTCCTTTATCTTCTTGTTATCTTCGTTCTCGGCGGCATCATCTACCTTATCCTTTCCAAGGATCAGAGAACAACAATGTCCACAGTCGCTGCCCAGTCCAAGGCTTCTAAGAAGAAAGTTCTCGACTACTCCGAAATCCATACCTCTGACCGCTCCTCATCCCCAGGAGTCACAAAGAGAACAAAGTCTCCATCCAACAAATAAAAACCCGACTAAACATATTTTGCACTACGCACAACACACACACAAAACTTTAACAATTATTTTTTTAATAATAAATAGTAAATATTATTTAATCATATTGGAATTCACCATCAAAAGATGAATATTAAAAGCGGAAATAAATTCATCAAAATTAAATTTCGAATCATGGTTGGCCATCATTAAGAGGATGAGCTCAACTGGCTTTCCAGAAGTATATTCTCAAATTAAATGAGCTTATGGACTTTAAATATTTGTCAATAATTTGATGTCTTCTAAAATTAGCCGTCTCGGAGTTCCTCATTTAAAACAAAAGTTATCTGTCATTAATATTTCGTAAATGTTATATGCTGAAATACAAAAAAATATGCGTTATGAATTTCATATCTGATAATATTAAGAATATATTGAAGAATGATTGCACATAACAGGGCATGAGATGATGTCAAGATTTTAAGAGTTTCATAAACAATCTTTCCCTTCATTGTTGATAAATTTCCAAAATAACGATTATTTTGACAAAGATTTTATATAAAAAATGTTACATCTGAACACTGAAGCAGCTTTAAAAGCTTGCATGAATAACGATCTTGAGTCACTTCAGCACTTGATTCCATCTTGTCTTGGACCAGATTCAAGAGTGCAAAAAGTTCGACTTCGGGATCGTCCTTATTCGGCAGTTCCTTTTTTATGCATTACAATTGCGTATGGAAGTATAGATTGCTTTGAGTACTTAATCGAAAAAGGTGCAACAACGTATTATGCAGATTTAATTCTTCATTTTTTCATTTCATTCTTCATATTTTTATGATAATACTCCATTACACTTTGCAGCAAGATTTAATCAACCAATTTGTGTTAAAAAGTTACTTGAATTAGGGGAGAATCCAAATACTCAAAATAGATTTGGTGATACACCATTGTATTACGCCGCTGAAGCAGGAAGTACAATAATCGTACAAATGCTTAACGTTATGGGAGCTTCATTGAAAATTTTAAATACTGAGAAGCAAACACCATTACATATTGCATGCGAAATGGGAAATGTCGAAGTTGTCCAACTTCTTTTAAGTTTGGGCGTTCAGACTGCTGCTAAAGATGTAAACGGAATGACTGCTTATGATTTTGCTAAAAGGAGTGAGTATCAAGATATTCTTGATATACTGAACGAGTATGATGTAAATAAGATAAATGAAGTAGGCTAAAACCCTCAAAATCCTCAAAATGCACAAAATGGACAAAATACACCTAGCACTCCACAGAAAAAGACACCAAAATGAGATAACTAGATATGTTTGAATTCATGTTTCTAAATATTAATGTTATTATTGTTTACTCTTCTTATATTAATTTCCAAAGCTAGATCTTATAAGATAACGAATGACATCCTCTTATATTATCAAATAACATGATAATATATGAACATTCAAGCATTGACATTATAATTTTTTGAAAAGAAAATATATATTATTGAGAATCAGATGATTTATTTTGAATCTATTTAGAGAAAGTTTCACTGTATAGACGTTTTAGCTCATAATTATATCATCAGTCTGAATTAGAATGATTATATTGATAAATTCATATTTGAATTCAAAGATCATTATGATAAGGATATATCGTCGTGCAGAAAACTTTCAATGAATCTATGTGTAAGTGACAAAAGTAACAAGTCAGTCTATTTAGTCAGAATGAAAAAAAATAAAATGAACATAACAAATTATTTTTATAATTTTTCTATCGTCCATTCAATTCAAAGCAATGTAAACAATAGATTTAATCCTATGATGTCATTTAATTTTAGGAATAATCCTCCTATAATAATTAAAATTATTGTAGTAAAACAATAAAGATTTACTAAGCTGAGTCACTTTTGTATTGAATATAAAATAAATTTTTATCGCGAAGCAGAATGAAATCAGACTCAGCATTTACTATTACTCCCGTTAGAGACTTCAAAATAGTCACAGAATCGGAAGAAATACCATTTATCAGAGATTATGCACGCTCCGCGCAAAAATACGCCGTAATTTTAACTGATGATATTTTACCTATTGTCGCTGAATGGCCTTACACCAATGTCAAAGAGATTTTAGATAAAAAGAAGCTAACTGAGAAGCCAGTTGCTATGGATATCTCTCCAAATGGTCAATACGCTCTTTTAGGTTATGAATCTGGCAGCATTGCTATCATTGATATTGAGAAGGAATCTCTCATTAAATACCACAAGAGAAATGGAAAGCCACCAGTAGTTCATGTCGCTTGGGGTGGCGATTCACAGGTTTTTACGATCGTAGACGAAGATGGTGCATTGTACCTTGTTAGCTGCAAGATTCTTCTTGGCGTTGCTGCTCTCAGAGAAAGACTTATTACTTTTATGAATCCAAAAGTTTTTGTCCAAGGATTTATCTTCAATTCTACAAGCAACTGGATGCTTGGTGCCACAGAAGAATCCTTATTATATATCAAACTTTCAGACGAAGGAAATTGCACTTCATCAGAAATTTACAAATCCGAAGATATTAATCCTCCAAGATTTACAACAGACTTCCACAAAGGACAGCTTCTTGTTGCTGTTTGCACAGGTACTACTCTCGTCATCTATTCTTTCAACGAAGCCGGTAAATCTACTCAATTATCAGAAACATTCATTCCTGATAACATTGAGCACTGCTTCTACTTAGGAAACCGCGTTTACGTACTTGTTCTCGATAACCATACACTCCAAATCATCAAAGCCTCAGGACAACTCGCAGAAATTTGTTCATCCGACGAATTAGAGAATACATTGAAGAATGCAAGATGCATGTTTGCGAACCATCAAAAGCTCTTCATCATGAATGATTCTTCAATGTTCCAACTCTCTTTCCTCGACTGGGGAACTGTTTTGAATGATTTGGCCGAACAAAAGAACTGGGGAGAGTGCTTCGAGATCGCAAAGAGCATCTATACAGGCAATAATCTTGAGTATTTCGGACTGCCTAGCTCAGTAAAGAAGCGTTGTTCCCAAGTTACAACAACAATGAAATTTATTTTCGACCAGGCAATCACGAGTGGCGACAATCCAAAGGAATTACTCAAGGGAATGATCGAGACATGCGGATACCTCGAAATGTTTGAGTTCTTCTCGAAGGATTTACTCAAATTTGCAAAAGATAAGAATTTACTCTTCCAATACTTCAATTCATCACTTGTCGAAGGTGAAGAAGTCATCACTCTTCAGAGATATATCACTAAAGCTCACTTAGATGTCTTATTTACCCTTTCTCCTCAAGTTGTCGCAGATATTTTACTCAAATCAAACATTATCGAGAAATTTGCCGCTAAAATCGCACAATACGCCCTTAAAACAAGCAACGATGAACTACTTCTTAAGATTTGGATCGATGTTTACGGAGATTATTTATCCCCACTTTTACACTACCAAGATAACACAACCAAGCTTTACATCTACCTCTACAAGGTCTTCTTCGGCGAATACCACCCTACTTATGCCCAAAAAGTCGTTGTTGCCCTTTGGATTTTCACTCCAATCAACAACCGCTTCCCAAGACTCTCCACATTGATTCGAAAAGATGCGGAAAGAGGTCCTCGCCTCATTAAGGAATTCTACAAGCTCTGCCCGATCAAGATGTTGAATGGCAATGACCTTGACTCGATCAAAATGGTCGATGCCGTACTCCACTGCATTATAGAGTACGCGAATACCATGCCTCGCGAGCAGGTGGCCATCAAATCCCCACAAATTTACACAATTCTCGCAAAAACAGGAAAAATCATTCTTAAGAAGAATCTACAGATCCCAACTTACTCCCTCAAGTTCATAATGTTCTGGATTTTCAACGACAAGCAGAATATCGATGTTCGCGAACAACTTTTACAATTAATCAACGCATTACACCCAGAAATCGTCAAATTGAGTGAGTTAGAGAAAGAATGTGAGGCTGTTGGTTTCTCAGAGATTCTTACAAAGTTCTACATGAAAGATAAGAACTATAATAAGATTATCCAGCTTTTACTTTCAATTCCTGACCGCAGATCCCGTATTTTCCCATTCATCTACGATCTGATTGATTCCGAGCCAGATAAGATCACTTCAGCCATTGAAGAACACATCCAAGTTCTCATTTTAATTGATGCAGCCAAAACCGCCAAATTAGTTGCAGAAAAAATGCCAGAATTCCACAGAACAGTTATGAGGAAAGACATTGGCAGCTACACGAAGTATCTCTATCTCAAGGAGATGTCGAAGAACCCAGATTGCCAACATTTAGTCTCCGATGATGATACAATGGAATATTTCGTTTTAATTTGTCAGTTTTGTCCAGAAGAAGCACTTCCTATGCTCAAAACAACTTCATGCATCATGTTCGACAAAGCGTTACCTATCTGCGAGCGTAACAGAGTTGTCGACGCATGTGTACACATCCATACGATGCTTGGAGATAATCAGAGCGCTGTTCAAATGGTTTCAGAAGAGTTACAACAAGAATTGGTTGAAATCTTACATAATAAGAAGAAATGCAGAGTTGCTTCTTTGGACAGAGTTGGCGATGACAAGTATTTAAGAGTTCCTTACAATACTATACAATTGGCCTTTGATTTGCTCGCGAAAACTCCTTCTTTGGGAACGAAATTGGAAGAAATGTGGAGAGATATTTTCAGAGCATTTCAATTACCAATGTATTTAACCGCGAAAATACCAGATCTCGAGACGAAGAAGGCCTTCAACTTGTGTTTCGCGTATTTCATTGTAGAACTCATCCAAAGGACATCAGGAGATTTCGTTATGGCAACGTTGCACAGAGATTTCTCAATAATTCCTGAATTGCAAATGAGAGAAATTTTATTATATGTTTTCAAACATTTCGATTACAACAAGATGCTTTCAACAGCTGTTACCGCTTTGTTGTTACAAGACTGCAAGACACTAAGAGTTGATGCTTCACTCGTAAAGAACAGAGCTGCAAACATTTGGACAACGAGATGCGGAATTTGCAACCAGTTCATTACTGGTCAAGGCGGAGTAGGAATGTTGGTTTTCCAGTGCGGACATTGTTTCCATAATAACAACGTTTGCGGAAAACACACAAGCTGCCCAGTATGTAAGGGTATAGCTGCTAGAAACAATAACGCGGAAATGACATTGTCTAAGAGAACAATGGCAAATAGAGCAAGAGCTTTGCAAAGAGTCGAATTCGGTTTGAAGAAGAATTTCGGTGATGAACAGGATGATTCTGCTTCTGGACATCATATTTACTTCTTGCCAGAATACCCTGTTAAGGCAACAAATAAGATAACACCAAAGTTCGCTGACTTCTTACCTCCTGCTAACTCAGTCTTCTCTGAAATTTAATTTCATTTTTCTTTATATACCCTATAATTCCTGGGTTGTCAATTTTTTTGGGGGCTATGGAGAAATTTACTTTATCAATAGCGCACCATAGATTCGAATCCAGAGCCTATAATTCTAGAAGTAGATGAAGGTACCCTAGAATAACTATGTGGTGTAGTTTTTATTGCTATTTAAGATATCACATAAAATATATTAATCAAATAATAAAAATTTCAATAAAATTAAATAATTGTTATTTTTATATAGAGTAGATATTATTTCTATATTTAGATCGAAAAAATAAATAATTCTGAAGTACTAGTAATATTCATCCATGATGATTTATTTTTCAATATTATACAATAAGAAATATATTTATAAGTTTTTTTTTGAAAAATGTTTAAAATTGAGAGATCAAAATTTCGATTTGTGAAAAGAAATCATAAATCAAATATGTCCTAATTTTTGTTTTTATTAGGGTATACATGTTTTATACTCGAAGTACGGTATGTTGTTGTTTTTTTATTCAATAATTAAAAACTTGCATACAGGTCGTAAGGTGTTGGAATATCGTACACAGAGGTTACACACATGTCTAGGGCAACTATTTGTTATGAATGAGTGTATTTTAAAAGATTTGAAATATCATAAGATTGATCCAAAATGGCATTATAATAAATGTTTTTATCCAATGTTAATTATATTTTAAATAAAGTAATGCAAAATTAATGACTTTTGAAAATTGAGAGAGAGAACAAAAAATAGAGTTTTTAAAAAACTAAATGTTGAAATAGTTTGAGATATCAATAAAATTAACAGTGAAAAATATTAATCAGAATAAATACAAAAATTGGGTATCTTATTGAAAAAATATGTGAAAAAGAGTGAAGATCAACCGAAATTTTATATTAATATAAAGGATATAAAAGAAATGTGAACGTAAATAAATATAAATTAAAAGATATAATTAAAATTTTTAATAAAGTTGAATCAAAGACAACAATTGATAGACAATTGTTGTCTTTGTGTACAACATTCACTTGAATTATAAACAATAACAAGTGTTTGTTGTTCACTGAGCAACTTTGAGAAGAATCATTTGTGATTCTTGTCAAAGTTGAATCAAAGACAACAATTGATAGACAATTGTTGTCTTTGTGTACAACATTCACTTGAATTATAAACAATAACAAGTGTTTGTTGTTCACTGAGCAACTTTGAGAAGAATCATTTGTGATTCTTGTCAAAGTTGAATCAAAGACAACAATTGATAGACAATTGTTGTCTTTGTGTACAACATTCACTTGAATTATAAACAATAACAAGTGTTTGTTGTTCACTGAGCAACTTTTAGAAGAATCATTTTGTAATACTTTGAAACACAAAATAGCATATTATGCTTTTATTTATCTATATGTGTCATTGTGGGAGACATTGTCTATGCAAGTCTCCCAGAATGACACATTCATACACAATCTTCTTCTGATTGTGTATCTTTTGTCAACAAAGTGCAACAGTGCACTGTTATTGTGTGCTATGTGTCATTGTGGGAGACATTGTCTATGCAAGTCTCCCAGAATGACACATTCTTCTCAAATGTTCTTACACTCTATTAAAACTATTCATAAATACAATTTCAATCTTATCCTCATTTTCTTCCTATTACACGTATCGAATCCCAACCTACTGAAACACTTATTCCTCACAATCATTCGCAAATTTTTCTAATCTATGTTTTCTCAACTATTATCCTTTACCTTCATAACAGCATTTAAATATTCCTAATGAAATTTAATGTTTTCATATTAAATACTTAATCACACAAAAATTATATTATCAAATTTTTATATCATTCTTAAATTCCAGATTATATTGCTTACTTTGCAAGCTAACTATAATATAGTGTGATAGCCTTATTGAACTTTGATCAAATACTCCTTCGTCCGTTAAAAATTAAGATGCGTTTAAAAAATCGGAAAAAAATTCTTTTGTTTTATTTTTAATTTTTCAACCGATAAAACTTTTTAGAAAAACTCCAAATTCCAAGAAATGCTTAGATTCAATATGAAGAACATATTCATACAGTCATTTCGTTTCAAATTTCAATTTTCAAATCGAACAAAGCTGCAAATTTGAACACTTTACAAAATTTTGAAACGTCTTTTCCCGAATGAATATTGAGTTTCAAGCCGGACAAGCTATAGCAAAACTGATTCTTATGACACACTCTATCATTTTGGTTTTTTTTTTGCAAAACGTGGGTAAACACCCATCTCATAACACATTTTTTGCAAAATTTGGTAAAATCCGTGTAAATGCTCAGATACATGTGGCCAATAATATTTGAATACTGACAGGTCCGGATATTAGGTTTAAATAGCTGATTTAATTCGAAATATGAAAAAAGATGAAATCTCAATGTAATATAGTAAATTAAGAATCAGTATGAATGGTTATATGATTTTGATAAAAGAAAACTGAATGAAATAGAACAAAATTTGAATCTCAGAATTTAAAAGTAATGAGAAGAAAAAGTGGTTTAGGGGTTTTATGATAGGTTATTGTCGGGTATTAGAAGTAAATATGTTGAAAAGAGATATTTAATTAATATGAGACAAAATTAAAACACGAAAAGTGCATAATGCACTCTTGTCGGTCGAAGTTCCGCAATCGTATTCTAATTGCGGAAGATTGTCTCATTCTGGAAGACATTGTCTATGCAAGTCTCCCAGAATGACACATTCATACACAATCTTCTTCTGATTGTGTATCTTTTGTCAACAAAGTGCAACAGTGCACTGTTATTGTGTGCTATGTGTCATTGTGGGAGACATTGTCTATGCAAGTCTCCCAGAATGACACATTCATACACAATCTTCTTCTGATTGTGTATCTTTTGTCAACAAAGTGCAACAGTGCACTGTTATTGTGTGCTATGTGTCATTGTGGGAGACATTGTCTATGCAAGTCTCCCAGAATGACACATTCATACACAATCTTCTTCTGATTGTGTATCTTTTGTCAACAAAGTGCAACAGTGCACTGTTATTGTGTGCTATGTGTCATTGTGGGAGACATTGTCTATGCAAGTCTCCCAGAATGACACATTCATACACAATCTTCAATTCTTGTTTTAATTTTGTCTCATATTAATTAAATATCTCTTTTCAACATATTTACTTCTAATACCCGACAATAACCTATCATAAAACCCCTAAAGCCACTTTTTCTTCTCTATTTACTTTTAAATTCTGAGATTCAAATTTTGTTCTATTTCATTCAGTTTTCTTTTATCAAAATCATATAACCATTCATACTGATTCTTAATTTACTATATTACATTGAGATTTCATCTTTTTTCATATTTCGAATTAAATCAGCTATTTAAACCTAATATCCGGACCTGTCAGTATTCAAATATTATTGGCCACATGTATCTGAGCATTTACACGGATTTTACCAAATTTTGCAAAAAATGTGTTATGAGATGGGTGTTTACCCACGTTTTGCAAAAAAAAACCAAAATGATAGAGTGTGTCATAAGGATCAGTTTTGCTATAGCTTGTCCGGCTTGAAACTCAATATTCATTCGGGAAAAGACGTTTCAAAATTTTGTAAAGTGTTCAAATTTGCAGCTTTGTTCGATTTGAAAATTGAAATTTGAAACGAAATGACTGTATGAATATGTTCTTCATATTGAATCTAAGCATTTCTTGGAATTTGGAGTTTTTCTAAAAAGTTTTATCGGTTGAAAAATTAAAAATAAAACAAAAGAATTTTTTTCCAATTTTTAAACGCATCTTAATTTTTAACGGACGAAGGAGTATTTGATCAAAGTTCAATAAGGCTATCACACTATATTATAGTTAGCTTGCAAAGTAAGCAATATAATCTGGAATTTAAGAATGATATAAAAATTTGATAATATAATTTTTGTGTAGTTTAGTATTTAATAGGAAAATATGAAATTAGATTAGTCAAACATATAAATTGTTATTATATGAAATGATAACAATTGATAAAACATACAGATTGGAAGATTAGGTGAATTTTTGTGATGAATAGGTGTGTTTGTATGTAATGCAGTTAGTATGGTTAAGTTGGGTACTGTGGCACTGCGCGCCTCCGTACACCACTTAACGGTTTTGACACTTTACGAAACCGGTAACGTATATTTTACAACACAAACGACAACACTAACTTAACCTTAAATATTTACAAAACCACCACTCACTTCACTTCACTAACAAACTCACTAATGTAAAAAAATAAACGTTCTCACTATCGTTCTCACTAACGACTTCACTAATGTTCTCATAAATTTTCCTCAATATCTTCATCATCAGTGTTAACCCTATTGTAGTCATACTTGAAGCCATAAACTTTCTCTAACTTCTTAACGTACAATTTACATAACTTACCTTCGTCATCATATGGTTTAATGATATAACTATTTCTATCTTTATACACAGTCAATGAAAAGTCAACTGGTCTCGGATGTATTTGAAAGAACATGTTATGCTCAGGAAGGAAGAATAAATGTTTAAATGTATGTTTGTTATATTTTCGATTTGTATGAGTTGCTTTTGTTCTGTCATTTACATCCAAATAAAAATTTTCAGTAAAATAAAAAATAAACTTAAAAATTAATGATATCACCACCCTCACACGTATGAAAACATAGCACAAAAATAAATTTAGGTGAAGTGGTGAGATCTCACCTCTTTTTTCACCTGTTTTTTCACCCTGTTGAATTCATTGCTTTATAACTCTCTTCCTTTCTCCAACTCTTCTAACTTCTTCTTAAGTTCAGCAATGTTGTCCTCATGAAGTTTAATCTTTCTCAAAATTCCTTCTTTATCTAATGGTTGCTTTATCTTTCTAAACTGAACTCTACCATCCTTCATAGTATGAATGTAAAAACCTTCTGGAACCGCTCCTGATTTAATGTATTCTACCAAAAACTTTTGTTTCATTGCTTCAGTGACTTTAGTCGTCATTTCAATCAAATAAAAATTTTA